CCATGTGCTAATGAAGACCATGACATGCAGTCCAAAGCTTTAAGGTAAGTGAGCCTTGAGTTAAAAGCCACCAGATTCACTAAGTCAGTTTACTAGTCGTAATATTACTCAGCCTGTAAAAATAGTTGGATAATACCTGAAAAATAAACCTGTCAGGCCATGATTTTGCATCACGGGAAATAAAGGATCCAGCGTTTTTTGGATCCTGACTCATGCCAGGGACTAAAAGTCAGGATACTTAGCCTCTGCTTGCTTGATTTCTTTTTTTATTCTGTCTCTTATGAGTCCCCAAACTTTCTGGAAGTGAAGCTCTGTATCACTAAGAAGAATTAAGAATTTAACCAACATGTCCATCTACATGTGCCGTGGGTTGTTGCCAAACTCTGGTTCCCTACAGCTCTGAACTGTTGCGTGTCAAACACTGACAACTAGACAGGTTAACATTCAACTCATTGGACCAGACTGTGCCACTGGCTGGGCGCTAATTTTGTGTGCGTGTGTGGTGATGGTAATGATGCTAATGCAGCATTGTCTCCAGGCTGACACAGCATAACAATGACAGAAAGACGAGTGGACTCAAAGAAAGAGGAAGCAAAATGGCAGTAGGGAAAAAGACAACCGTATAGAATGGATGTGTGAGGATAACGGGACAAGAAAAAGGCAGAAAAATAAAGAGAACAAGCCTGAGAGACAAAGACAGAGAAAGACAGTCCTACAGCTAATTTAAGTCTAGACAGGGTTGGCCAAAGTGTCGAAGCAATTACACTTAATCTTCAAAGCGCACTCACACACACACACACACAGTCCTAGGAGGATCCCTGATGGCCCTCAAACACAGAGGAAAATCTGCAGAGCTTGTAGTGTCTGTATTTTGTATTTTTATCTGTATTTTGTGCAGAGATACTAACACAAAGAAGTCCAGGATAGCTATTGGATGGCTGACCATTAGAATTTAACCAAAAGCCCTACATCAATAAACATGTTTCAGTGCGCTGTACCCTACACTGTTGAAAACAACATTAATTATTAGCACATCAAGCATCTGTAACAAGCAGCGGGAAAGCCTTATTAAAGCAGTGCTTAATTCATTTTAAATCAATAAATCATCACTGCATTATAATTAGTTTTAACATAAAGATCTTCAGTGAAAAACTGGCATTGGAGCTTATTCATTTTACTTCTTTATATTAAAATCATGATTTGAAAGACCCTCTAATGTATTTTAAAATGTATTTTAATCTACACATATAATCAAGCTGGAAGTTTTATGTGTATAGGTGATGGTCGATTTCAGCAGCTGTAAAGGCAAATGTCTACGGCACAGTTAGCTAGCTGCGGCTAACTACTGTTCATTGGACCAGTTGGTCAAACTACAAAATGAAACTTGTATTTGTAGTTATTCGTTGTATGCTTTTTGGCTAAAGATGGATTTGTAGAAAAGTGTTTTTTGACCTACAATGTGGAGAGTCTCTCTAGATAAACAGATAGCTTCAAGGCCTCCGCACACCAACCCGACGGTCCGACCGTCGGCAGAAAAGCAAGTCGGACTGATCATGTCGGCTCCCATTCTCTCGAGTCGGGTCAAAAAAATGCACTCCGAACACACCAAACCGACGCCAACTTTGGAGCGTACGTTCTGCGCATTGCGCGAGGCGTAATTAGCGTCCCATAACAGCAGGGCGGCGCTAATCTGTGTTGTCGCCCAAAAAAATGAAAACGGGATAATGACAGATCACTCTAGACCTAGTAAACACAGGAGCACGCTTGTCGCCAGTCATTGTTTTCATCAGGAGAGTGTGATAGAGTCAAAGATAGGTATCGTTATTGTCATTACTCGCTGAACAGAAAATTACGATGGCTGAATAATAACAAGATACTGGGCGTTGTTACATCGGTCACTTCCGTTTCTCATGCACTCACTGATTCGCTTAGTCAAGGGGCTAGCACTCCACCAATCAGATCGGTCATTGAGGCCGAACGGCCAGTGGCCGATCTCTACATGTCGAATCGGCCAAAATTTGTAAGGCCGCCGGCCGGACTGGACGACGGCACGGGACACACCGAACTGATTCGAGCCACCGACCTCGCCTGACTGTCGACGACATCCGCACGCCAATAATGGGGGTTTGGTGTGCGTTGAGGCCTTCATATCACTTTCCTGAGCTAACCAAGTTAGCTCAGCAGTAGGCTGTGTGTGAATGAACATTTTTTGAGCTTTAAAGCATTATCATTTCATTCAGTTGTGCCCTGTAGTTGGATGTATCATGAACATACTGATGTTAAAAGGGCTTTACTCATGGTGGTACAGACCACATTTTGAGGGACTACATGGAAGACATTGTCGATTAATAGAATTAGAAACGTACTGCAGTCCCTTTGTTCGCACAAATGACCCCCCCTCCCTGAAGTTTGAACAATACCCCCTGCTCGCTCTATATAACAACCCCTGTGTTCTGTGTGTCTACAGGGCTTTTGTGTCTGCCTCTATTTAACTCTGCAGCCTGACGACTCCTCTTCATCCTCCTCCTCCTCAAACCTTTCCAGTTTGCTCTTATCTATATATACTTCTCTCTTAATCTGCCAGCTACTACCATTCCTTCTCTGTTCTGACATCCATCCAATTTGTGCACTTCATTCGTGTTAGGTAAGGCATGTCTACACAGAGCTCTGCCCGTATGTCTCTGCAGGCTATCACTGGTGAGGAACGGAGGTTTAAAAAATCTAGGTGTCTAAGGCCTAAAAAATGGAATTTGATCTGCCTCCTTTCAAGGAACGGATTTACACATAAAAGGGCAGTTGTATTCATCACAAGGGATATGACTGAAAACTGTGGTATAATGTCTTCTGGTGGCTCTGGTATGAACTTCCCCAAGTCTAAATAAATTAACACTTGACACAAGTCTGCAGTTAGAAAACTTGGATGTAGTGTTTAAATATGTAGATTTGGTTTTTTATTTAAATCAGTGCAGGGGAGCGTCCCATAACACACAAGATGCACCATGATGAGCATGAAAGATGTATCACGTTCCATCTATTATACGTGTAATGATCGATTTTTATTTGGAGCTTGATCCGTTTCTAGGCTCCTGCTTCTACATTTTGACCATAAAAAAAATAGTCTCTTGCAAGTCCACCAACTTTATAAGAGAATGCAATTATTTAAATCAGCTGAGTAATCCCATTAAAGTGGATTTTTCAACCAATTTCGTTTTCTGTGATACAAACAATTACCCTAAATGTGCCATTTGTATTGATTAATTCTAGTATATTTCTCATGAAAGGCTGCAGGACGAAATGTTTACCAACCCAGTACTGAATCATTTAAAAGGCCCTGATAATATTTCCTATTGTAGAGCATGTAGAGCACTGTAGGTTTTTGGATGGACTTTACCCCAGGGAGTTTTAATATAGTTTTGGCACTTCTTTTTGATGTAACTCCCCATGTCAATATAATTATCAATGCATGTTATTATAAACTGGTGGATCACGCAGATTGATTTTTCTGCTTTCTTTACCCTAAAACTGAATATATATACTTACAAAAACAACAATGTTGAAACTTCTCTTACGTGGTTTAATTTTCTCCGGTCCTCCTTGCGGGCTCATCGCTGCGTGGATCGTTTGCCTTACTTAATGTTGTGTGTCTTCAAACGTTGACCTTTGTTTCTGAATGTTGTGCTTTTTTACGTTTGTTAGCTCAACTGTCAACCAGGGAGACAGTTGTTATATTTTTCATATGGACAGTAGGGAACTATTCATAAAAACACCAGTCATCAGGATCATGGCTCGACTGATTGGCCATTGCAAGTATCCAGTAAAAAGGACCATGGTTCTTGCACAGCTGTAGTAAGATTCTGTATGGCTTACAACTACAATCTACTGGCATATCCCAATTATGCAAGTACTCGTCTTAATTTTCAAATGTGTTGTCAACCTGCCAGGAGCCCAATGGTGTTTGAATTTTAGCCTACGGCACACAACACCAATATCTCTTCATGGGCTTTGTTTGTTAAAGGTTACCTTGAACATAAAACTCAGTCGGTGATGTGTTAGGACTCTATGGAGTGGCATCATAGCGATGAAAAAGAGACCTCTGGACGCCACTCGGAAGACATAACCTATGAATATTATATTCCATTTCTGCCAATAGATCCTCCTAAATGTTACACACTGGACCTATTTTAGAGTTTTAATGGTGGACTGATCTGTGAATCTGTCCTGGTGGTGCATTCATGTTCTGAAGTGAAGGTCTGCTTCCCCATTCAGCTGTCAGATAGCATTACATTCACACTATGTGATGTTTGAAAACTAAGGAATAATCAGACACGAACGTCATATTGAATGGTCTGGAAATGCACTACTCCTCTAGATCGAACTCAGATGTGTGCTATCATTGGCTGTTTAGGGCTAAAGGACCTGAATACTAGCTGGAAAACCAAAAGTCCAGAACAGAGTGCTGTAGTTCCCCTGAATGGGACATTTCTGAAGTGCTGTTGGAGGAGTCAGAGCGAGGCAGCGATGCAGTTATCTATCTACAGTTGTGACCATTTGATTTGCCGGCATAAAGATTAAAGCAAAATTACAATTATCATGTGGGTGTCTGACTAAATTTTAAACAATTTAGCAAAACATTAAGCTAAAAAATGGCTGCATGCTTTGGGGAATGACTGGCACTAATGGAAGGTGTAAGCTAAGAGTGCTTATTTGCCTTAAACATGCAAAACCACTGCTATGGTCCGTCAAGAGTGCAGTGAACACACACACTGCAGGGAAAATGTCAGTTTCAGCCGGTTTCCCACCCTAATTTCACCTCAACAACTTCAATTCAAGCCCAGTGATTATCCAAATTATCCAAACGGCTGATTTTACTAAATGCCTACCAGCCAACTCAACACTAACCTCCTCCAGGAAAGAGAACTTCCCTACAGGGATCAACATCACATTAGGGGACAGCATCACTCCCTCTTTACGTCTTTGCACGAACGCTCGCGGCGACTCACCGCTCTTGGCGTCCTTTCCATCCAGCAAGGGTCGGTAGTCGCTCTTGGAGACCGTCTCTCCAACCTTGTCATCGTAGCTCTCTTTCTCCAGCGTGGCCACAAAGTCTCTCTTCAGCAGGGCCTCGGCAGGTGCCCCCCCAGGGACCCCTCCTCCACCCCCACCCAGAGCATCTCGCAGGCTCAGGTCCATAGTCCTGTTACTGGAGAGAAAGAGGAGGGATTACTTTCATTATTCTTTGCTTTTTCTCCTTTACCCACTCTACTTCACAGGCTCTCCAACAGTCATATTAAAAATTCTCTAAGATGAATTCATGTTAGCAATTGAAGCTAAAGCCATAGCAGCTAACCCTAACCCTAACCCCTAAGGGAACAAGAACGTATGTGAATGTGGCCAAATCTGTGGAAGTCATAGTGATTGTAGATATAATCTTTAAACTGTTCAGACAGCTCAGTCACTTTATCTGTATGTTACAAGACAATGGTTGAAAAGGGATAAAAGAAAACTGCACTGACTGAAATACAAAGAAGTGTGTTTTCCTGTTTCCTACTGTCTTTGTATCCTCCTGATACTACAGCAGCTGTTCATCATGACTCTCCTGATGATTCACAAAGGTGAATAAACAGTGGCCTTTAAGTAAGTAATGCAATGAGGCGGACATAAATCCACTGAGGATCATACAATAACACTCATAATCCTTTCATAGAAATAAATGACCAAAACAAATCCACCAAAACATGACAGGCCCACTCCGACACTGTGCCATAAATGTTGTGTTCAGTATGCGTTAGTGGTTAGGGTTCACCCTGAAGGAATTTTGTTTTTTTAACCAGGATGTGTCAATAGAATATGCTCAAATTTGGGATTTTCTGGACTGTTGATGCAGACTGAATGAAAGGTAAATGTCAATATGGATCACCTCTTGTGAGAGAGGTTGTGGACATGACTGGAGGGGGCAAAGATCATGTAACTATGAAACTTCTGTACCTACCTGAGGCAGCCTGAACTACAGTGAGGCTCCATTTATTAGCCTGTTAGCATGGTAAACCACAATCTCTCTAAAAAGAAAGCCTTGTTTTACAGTAAACTAGAGTTGTTCCGAGATGATATACATTATTGTATATCGCGATAAAAAACACTGAAGACACGACACAATAAATTGATTTCCAATACCATAACAATGGTGAATATCCTCATGACTTGACTTGAAAAAGCTGTCTAGCTCTCCAGCATACAGTCCTATATTTATCTCCATTTAGTGCCATTTTAAAATTTCGTATCGTCCCATGCCCACTTCGTCCCAGTATGTATACACTTATAATATACTTAAAATATCAGCTATTTGAGTTAGGTCCAAAGGTAGCCGGCCAACCCACTGTCTCCTTTTGTGATACAAGCCCCATGTGGACAACTTTCCAAAGGAAGTGTGTGTCAGTTAATGTTTCTGCCACTGACAGCTGCAACACATCACTGAACAAACCTGCAATCGGTTACACAATGTATTATTATTATTATTAT